CTTACTTGTTACCAAAGCAGCCAACAGCACCAGACTAAAACTCTGGAGGAGTTCTCCTCAAAGCCACACGAAAAATAATTTTATGTTTTGTTTATAACTTACTGCTGGCTTCAATGTAAGATTTAGTTAGGATAAAAAAAAATTATGAAATATTCTAATTCAGATTTGTGCTGTATATGTATGTAATTTTGTTGTGTAATATGTGACTAAAATTTGTAAAATAGATTTTCTTATATCTAAGTATTTGGATGTACTCAATCGATATATACTTAGTAGAAATTCCATGAAAATAATAAACAGTTTTAATATTTTTTTAAAATTTTTTATTTAACTGTATTTTATCTAGTCAGTATTGCTTCGTTTTAGAAATCTACTGTTGGTTGTAACAATTTAATATTATTGTCCGGTATATTTTTTTTTCATATGCTAAAATATTTATTTGTTTTCCAGGAACATTGCAGTGAAGAGGTGATAGTAACAGCGGGATGGAAGAAGTTATGAATGTTTCAGATCTGTGGCGATGTGTTATAATTGTAAATCTATATATTGTAAATATATTGTATGATAGTTGTAAAATAAATAAAACTTAATAAATCTTATTTGATTTAATGTTTTTTTCTGTTTTTAAAATTATCAAGTTAACTGCTCTTCTGGATTACACATTGTAATTTTACGAACATACGACTTAGAAAATTTGTAATTTTTGTAAGTAAACAAATCAAATGGTAAATTTGGTTAATATTTTTTTTTACTTCGTGTGTGTGTTAAAAGTAAATTTCAGTTAAAATTTTCAAGCTAAAAACTAAAAAATATGCATTTAAAAAAATTAAAAAAAAGGAACCGAAAAGCATTCTACAAAGATATAATTTTTTATAAAATTTTATTTTCAACAAATTAATAAGTAAAATGAAGTATAACAAATATATTTTAATAAACTCCACAGCGTCAAATCTGATTTGGACCATTTCCCAGTACTGGGATTGCGTGGAGCAGATGTAAAACTAACCAGTCTTCGAATTGGTCATACCTGGTTGACACACCTCCATTTGTTGCTAGGAGAACCCCCTCCTCAATGCCATGGTTCCTCTCACAATTTATCATATTTTAATAACATGTCCATGTTTTAACCAGTATCGTTTAACGTATTTTGGAAGTTCTATTTTATGCATGCAGGATTTGTTAAATAACATTCATCATCCAAACATTTTTGCGTATTTGCGTGCTGTTGGTATTTTTAACTGTATATAAATGTTTTAATACACTTGCAATTTTATTCACTTTACTTACTTCATGTATTTTATAGCGCATTCACACCCTCTATCTGATTTTATTCATCAACTTATACAATTTTATCAGTTATAATTATACGACAAACAAAGTGTTGCACGCATTACGTCTTTTGAACTGTTTTCACCGTATTGTTTGGCGCAGTATGTCCTCTTTTGAACTTTGTGCCACTAAACCCTACATTCAATCCTTTTCTCATTTAAATGAGCTAAAGTCATCGCTCGTAAAGTCCGACGTAAAAGTCAGAGAGATTCTTGGTCTCGATTACATCGTCAATATCTCCCAGCCAGGTCTGGTCAAGACTAAAGCGAGTAAATGGTATTTACCAGGACTTTCATTTTCCAATATTTGAGAAAAACGGTATCAAACACTTGTCTTCCATTGATAAACTTGATTTAAATATTAGACATCACTGATATACTATTAAAGGTCTTAAATTAAAGAAAATTTTATAGCATAACTCATATATGGGTGATTCTCACGAAATATGACAATTCACTGTCCCTTGCTCCAAGACCTAATATTATAATACTAAAAGAACTTTTTTTTCTAAAAAAAATTAATAAATAGCATTTCTGTTAGCATTTTAAAATGACTTTGCACTAGCATTGACTGTTTTGTATAGTTAAAAAATTTAATTGAACTTCAAAATGTCATTTCCCTGGTATGTCACAAACAATATTTCCAATAATAACTAGCTTCAAAACTTCCCATAAATTTTTCAATATCTAATTATTTTTTATCTCAACTGGTGTAAGCATTTCTTCCATCTAACATAAAGGCCTAAGTTGAGTAACTTACTATTAACTTAAAATGACTGTCTTCTAAACTTCTAAGCTAGTATGTCCCTTTCCTGGCATTCAAGATTTGGTGATTTTCTAATTTTTTTTTTCTCAAGCAAATGTCAATAAACTACACTGCTGCCTGTAAGATATTAATAAGAGTAACTAAAGAAGTATACAAAAAAATTTTAGATTATTTTGAAGACTTTAAATTTGAAGAAATGTTTGGCCCGAATTGTCATGTTTAGAAAGAATCACCCATATCTTAAGTATACCTTGGATAAATTACTGAAGAATCTCTTGTGTTCAGATTTTAAAGAGGAAATATCATCCTATTATGATATACAGCAGTAATGTTTTCTGTAGCATTAAGCTCAAAATTTTTTGTTTTAGAGGCTAAAGAAATAGTTTCTGGTTCAACAGACTATGTAAAAGAGAAGAACACTAGAAAAATAATTTTATTAAAAATAAACCTTACATTTATGCACAGTAAAATATTTAAATCTTTCAGAAATTTATTTAATTAACCATTCCCATTTGTTTACAAGAAAAATAACAATTTCAATATACTATACATGGGTACTTTCAGAAACACAATTTTTTGTGGGAAAATAAAAGAATATAGGAACACGAGTCCCATCCCTTTTTTTTTTAAATGATAATCACACACAAAAAAAAATGTGTTTTTGGACATGGAACACAGAAATATACTTAAAATTTGAAAGCAAGCAAAGAGTTTAGTCTCTAGCACAGCATGTTTTCAAGAAAAATTTAACAAGATAGAAATAATTTCTATCAAGCCAGGGATTTTACTTTTTTAAACAATTTATTGAAGTGATTGAGGTATATATTTCTTTTTAACATAGTTTTATTTTGAAAACAAACAATAAACACAGTTTAGTGAATAAAAAACTGACTTTAACTTGTTTCAATAACAAAAAATGCTGATGCTATTTGTATTGATACTGTTTTTTCTGCTGGATTAAAATATATTTAATAACTTTTTTTTTGTTGAAAATCTTTATCAGCATCAATTATTTTTTTCTGATGCTTATTTTTACCTTTTTTTTCGATTTGCATATTTTATACTATATTTTAGTTTTAAATATTTTCATTGTCCAAAACTAATGAGAACAACCATGATAATACAATAGCATACAGTGACAAATGAAACTATTTCTGGAAAAGACTGGCAACTTATAGCTTTTTTTTTTAAGAAAAAAAATCTAGAAATAATTTTGAATGTAGAGAAACAAGTCTGAACAAGAAAATAACGATGGGAATATAAGAAACAGGTGTCAGGAAATTTAGCGGGAACCCCAGGGTGAAAACAGTTTAAGTTAAAATGGACTTCAAAATATTGGAAAACGATGGATACTTGAAAGTTCATAAATTGAATTATTAGAATTTTTGGAAAGAAAAAAAAAGTAATGGCTCAAAAAAATCAAGTTGGGAACATGAAGAGCAGTGTTGAATGAACTGTCCCTATTGTTTAGACCACTTTAGATGTGTTTGTCTCTTACTTCTCTACTTTTATTTGACGTTTAGACACTGAGGTAGGTACTTGTTTATAGAAGTGAAACTATAGTATGCCCATTTATGTACTTTCATATGTGCTTTATACAAGTTTTTTGTTTTAGCCATAAAAAATATTTTTCTCATAAAATAATTTATGGACATTTGTTTTCACTTAAAATGCTTTTGAATAGAGTATTTAGTTAAAAACTGAAAAGTTCATAACTTTGTTTAAGACTATAAAATTAAAATATAAGGAAAAACTCTAAATAAAAGAGCTATGATTGAAGTTATTCTGTTTTGTGCTTTTCTTTGAACTCCTTTGAGCAAACATAAAAAGGGTTGGTTGCAGCTACGACCGCAACTTTACTCGATAAAGGTAGTAACTTTAGAGTATATGTAAAGGATATATGCACATTCTAAAACATTTAATTGGTGCAATTTACATTTTAACTAAACAGTATATCTAAGAGTTGAATAAATATACAGGACATCCTCAAAAACTTTTTCATTGGGAGGAAAAATAATTATTCAAACAGTGTCAAATAAGTCAATGTTTGAAGTATGAACAAAATTCAAACTAGATGTTTTAAAGGATTCAGTTCTCTGAGCAATAAAGGGAAAGTCAGAAACCTCATCATAAAGTCACAATATTAAATTTTTGAAGAAAAAAAAAACATGAATAGCAATTAGTCACNATATTATTTAAAATTTTGTTCCATACACTAGACAACATAAAGGCATTTATTTAATAGAACTATAGAAAATAAATCATACCTGTGTAATGAGCTCTTATATTTTTAAATTAGCTTTTAATACACATTCTCAAGTGCTAATATTTATAGCTGCTCAAGCTTAAAATTAAATAGGCCTCTTTGTAATTGGAAGACCTCAATACACAAAATGTTTATATCTTTGTACACTGTTTACTTTAGTTACTATATTTTTATAATTTTGATAGAATGTAAATAAACTAAATAATACAAAAATATTTTAATCCACAAACCTCTTTATTGTATACAAAGTATTTTGATATTATTTATCATAATAATATCAAAACAAAATTCCTCTTGTGTTTTTCATATAATACAAGAGTAAAATATTGTGGCTTTTTGTTATACAAATCATATACACTTATTCTAACCTGATTTATACACTACGGAATTATATTAGATTCAGAAATATTTAGCAAATAACTCAAGTTTTTTTATTAAATCTTTGGTAATAAGTTTTTGAACATTTTACAGGAGCAACTATAGTCAGTGAGGTAAAAAAATATGCACATACTACTAGCTGCTCAGAATTTATTAGATTTTATTTTAAAAAAATACTTACTACAAATTCATGTGAGACTGTAAATTATTTATTTTGATTTTAGCTGCATCATACAAATATGAAGGAAAAAAAAAATCACAAAAATATATATATTCTGCTTTTATTTTGATATTGAAACCAGATGCAAAAGAATTTTGATTTTGAAATTTCAATTTTATTTCATGCCCTACGAAACTCAGCTGTCTGTCCTAGAGAAAGGTCAGATGACTGCATTTAAGAGTATATGTAAAGGATATATGTACATTCTAAAACATTTAATTGGTGCAATTTACATTTTAACTAAACAGTATATCTAAGAGTTGAATAAATATACAGGACATCCTCAAAAACTTTTTCATTGGGAAGAAAAAAAATTATTCAAACAGTGTCAGATAAGTCAATGTTTGAAGTATGAACAAAATTCAACCTAGATGTTTCAAAGGATTGAGTTCTGTGAGCAATAAAGGGAAAGTCAGAAACCTCATCATAAAGTCACAAGATTAAATTTTTGAAGAAAAAAAACATGAATAGTAATTAGTCACTAATAAATATTAAACTAACAATTTTCGTTGCGATGAAACCACTATTCACAAAATTAGAGTTTTTAATTATGGGTTATTTTTAGTGACCAGAAATTTAATTTCTAAAATGCCCAGATGGATACTCATATTATTGGAGGGAGTGGTCAAAGAAAAATGTTCTCCTGGGAAGCCTACAGTAAACACGGTAAACTAAATTTAGCCTTTACTTAACATAAAATGGATAACAAGGACTACTGTCAAAAAGTTCTACAGGACAAACTTAATACGTTTTCGAAGAAGAATAGGAAATCTAAACTTGTTTTGGCAACACGACAACACATCCATACACTCTAGTGCAAGCACTAGCAGCTAGCTCTACCTAAAAATATAATTAAATTATGGATTGATCAGCTTACTCCCTTGGCTTGAATCCAATCATGAAATTTTACATTAGTTGGATAAAAAAGAATTAAGTGAACTGTTATCAATACAACAACAAGAATTAAATAAAACTAACAATACTTTGCTTGAAATTAAATAAATTTAGAAACTTTAAAAGGACTTTCTAACAATTTGCTAAATCGATAAAATGGTTGATCATGTGACCATTAAATGTTTTAGGTGAAAATAACAAAATTAAAATTCTTGCTCATGTTGCAATAATTTTTCAATTCAAAACTTATTTAATTTACATTTTAATAGTTTTTATGAAGCACATAAAGAATTAAATTTAACAGAAATTGTAGGGCATGCATAATTTTGCAGCACACAAAATGAAAATATATATATAAACAAAGTAAATGTATATATCAAGAAACTTTTCTTAAACAGTTACATTACAATAGTTTTATTGATATTGTAGCCGGAATTTCAACAAAAAATTTCTAAAAAAAGATATTGCATTTTCATGTGAAAGGTCAAACAAATAACAAAGAAATGCTCAAATAAAGCATAAACATATGTAATGATTTTAAACAAATGAAAACAAAATTCACAAACACCACAAAAGCTATAGGAAAAAATTAAAAAATAATTTAGCAAATATGCTAATATAATTTGAGAGACATAATTCACAACCATATGATTGTATATAATCCTATGAATAAACCATATTGAAAGGTTTAAACTCATTTCAAAAGATAAATATAAAATTTAAAAAAAAAAAAAATTTAAAATGTAAATTTTATTGCTATTATTGGAGTTTTTAGCAAATCAAAGTATGTTATGTATTAAAAGCTATGATTTAAAAAAAATTGTTATTTTATAAAAAAAAATACTACATAAAATTTTTTTTTTTTTTCTTAACAGCATTCACCAATTTTCGACCCGGACCAATAGGTAAGCCCATGTTCTTCAAATATTCATCTGATAAAAAGAACTAAAATATAGATAAAGAACTTAAAAATTTGGTTGAAGCTAAATACACCACCTATGAATAACATGAATTAGTTTTCATATTAAAGAGGAAAACTTTTCAGTCAACCCTCACCAGTGTTGATAAACTAATTTCGTCCTCATTAAAAGTATCTAAATATTCTGCCAAATTCAAAGTTCTTAAAAGATGTTCAATATCTACAAAGCTTTCTAACTCTTGCTGGTTACTTTCAAAGCTTTCAAGAACTTCAGGTTTTGCCCTTTCTTTGCTGCAATCATTAAAGTTTTGGTTTGAAAGAATATCAAAAAGAATCAAAGAACCTAAAAATATTAATATTGAATGAATATTTATAAATACGAGTACATATTATATATATGCATACATTTTGATACTTTATTATCAAGTACATTTAATTAACAATGGAAAGTCCCATGTTCGGAATCATCAAGATTTCGACACGTCAGGAAAATAAGTTTTTACGGATATAGGTCTTTAAGTAAGATAAACAAATTTTTTTTAAAAAAACAGGCATAATGTAGTATTTAAGGTTTGTTGAAAATGGACTTCTTGAATAAACTTGAAAATTAAACTCAATAACATTTATTAAAAATTAGGAAAACAAAACAAATAGTCTTAAGCCAGACAACCTTTTGGGAGTAACTCCCTTTAGGAAGGAGGTTACTCCCAAAAGAAACACAAAGGCAGCGCCATCTCTGAATTAACACAAATAATAGACAAATTGATAAATTCTGATATTACATCTTTTCCCCAAGTTATGGGTTTTAAATAAAATTCAAACACAAAACTAACGCTGAAGATTAGAATTTAGCAAAATAAGACACATATTTTTCACAATAACAACGATATAAATATACAAAACACTTAACTGAAAAACACTATGAATTATCCTAAACACATTTGCTGGAATAATTTTAAGTCAAAATTTAACAAATGCTTCAAAATTGAATCTCTTGATTTAAACTATTAAAATTTTCCAAACAAAGTTAAGGAATATTAAAGAATTAAAATTCACCAAAATTATTAAAATTGACCGTTAATCATTTATTGATAATTTATCATTTACCCTTATTTAAATGATAAACAACTTCAAACCTTTAAAATAATTTTTAAAAATTAAAATATAAAAAAGGAACCAATAATGTAATTTTGAATAAAATTAAAGCAGAAAATGATCGCAAATGCATTATTTCTTTTATAATAATTTTTGTAATATATCAGTTATAAATAAATCTAATGATTAAACAGTTAAAAATTGTTAAAATAAATGTTAAATATAGAATTAATAAAGCAGTTTCCCCATTCTTCTTTTATCCACGTCCTCATCATGTTGCATCATTTTACTTGAATATCAAAAAATTTTGAAGTCTTATATTTCTGAGAATAAAAATAATAAAGTTGAACTTCAGCTGAAAGTGAGGATAAACTTGGTCTATAAGATAGATCATTTAAGCAAAAAGATCATTTGTTTATTTTTATAAAAATTATTTTAAAGAATTTTAGCTGGTTATCATTTGATAGGTTAAAATTTCAGAAATTAAAAGATTAGCCAAAAGAATCGCGATACATTCATGACTTTGTGTTGTACAATTTAAAACAAATCAAGATTTATTTTTTGCAGCTTCAATTTTGGGCCTAATTGCGCAAGAAACGCTACTCGCTTTACATCAAACAGGAGCAATAACTGACTTTATAAGAAGAGATGCTGGATTATTGTATACGATCCCTTTCTACCAACTATTTTAATAATTTCAATTTCATTTACCCCAGTTAATGAAATTCCCAAAGGTTCAAACCAAGAACATTCAAAAATATTTTCACTGTCAATTTTTGAAATTAATAATTCTAGCTTTACATACGACGGCTAGTGAACTCCTATTTTTAGAAAAGTTGCACAGTTTAATGGAAGTTTCTTTGATCATGGGTTGCTCAGAACGGAAAACTTTATTCACAATGTTTGCAAATAAATAATTAAATAATAAGAATCTGAATCAATTTCCACTTCTAATTTACTTAAAGGTTAAAAAATACAACATTAAAATATTCAGGTTGAACTTCAACTTCATTCGCACACTGCTTCTCAAAGGGATCAAGAGAAAAATTCTCTCATCACCAAGAATTTCTGTAAAGATAACAATTCAATTGTTGAGGCTGAGAGGTTGAAGCCTTCCAGTCTGAATGAGAAGAATTCAACATTTATATCAGCTCTTTATAAAATGCAATAAATTGGATATATTGGAATCCCACAAACAAGGAAACAAGTCAATATTTATATAGTATAAAAAGCAAACATCCTTGCAGAGTAAATATTTAGAATTAAAACTGTATTGAAAGAAAAAAAAGTAGCCAAAAGAGATATTAAAAAGATAATCATTATAAAATGGCTATTCAGTGTACGCAAAATTTGAAACTATTTTCATCTTACCTAAACTATGACCAGCAACAAAACACTTTTCCACAAAATGCTGGACTACGGAATACAAAAACAAATTATTGAGCTCTTGAGTCACAGTATCCACAATTGATTGACAGTATGAAGAGCTACTAGACAATAAGATATCTATTAAAGTATCATTTGTGAAGTGGCGTAACTTAGGTAATCATTTTCATTGTTCTGAAAAGGGTAAAAAAAGATAAATAAGCATAAATACACTAAATTTTTTTTTAAACAGAACTAAATAACTTGAACAATAAAAGTCGAACAAGTTATCCAAGAAAGAAGCACGAAAAACACATGGTGACACATAAAGCATAATTACGAAAGAATGCCTTTCTAGAAAGTTCATTTTAAAGAAAATTTATAAAAAATTACTTTTTTGATTTGTGAAATCAAATAACTTCATAATTTCCATAATAAATTTAAATTATAAAAATTAAACATATCCTATGATTTTTTCAAAAATAATCATACAGTACAAAGTCTATTCCCTTTCTTAATAAATCCTCTTTCCCCACAGCAGTTATTTTTAAAACAGAAGCTTAACAACTTATTAAACTCAACTCATAAAATACTGAAACAGGNATAATTACATAAAAACTAAAAAATTTACTACCAATTTAAATTAACACATTAAGCATTATTGTTCAGATATCATCACAGCACAACTAAATATGGAGTCGAGAAGGAATGAATAATATTCATAAGCAGCGGAAGTTTTGTACGATAAATTTTCTAAAATAAATACTTAAAATCTGAAAAATATTTTACATTTTAAAAATATACATCTGAGATCAGAAACCAAAAATATTAGGAATTATGAATCAAAATGTGAGGATGATTAAACTATAGCCATTCTCAAAGAAAAACTAAAATACAATGATTCGAACAATTTATGAATGGATTTTTCTTCTTAGTTAAGAACTAATTAACTTCTTCGAATGTGAGTAAAACTTAATTGTACCTTAAATATATATAATTTTTTAACCCCCAAAAGAAGATGAGCATGGAATTTTCAATAAAATTCATAAATACCCAGGTATTTGTGAATTTTGAGTATTTACCCGGGTAAATACCCACAGTATTTGCCAAGTTATAAAATCTAAAAGCATGGTATAGTAAAAAAGAAAAAATAAATGAATGAAAAATAAGGAATTAAAAAATATACATAGAAAAAAGAAGTTAAAACTGTTATATGTGCAGTATATTTAGTAACTATGCATTTTAATTGTTGTGTTATAGAAGAAAATATAAAATCTGAATAATGTAGGAAAATATAACTTATAAGCAACTAATTTTGAAATAGAAATTTTACTCTGCACAGATCTGGCCTGAAATTACTTAATTATTCAAGCTAGTTAATAAATATTCATTTTATGCATATTAAATATTTATGTTTTTGAAAAAAATCTAAATAATGTAAGGAAATATAACTTATAAGCAACTAATATTGAAATACAAATTTTACAGTATCTTATCTGCTGTATTGTACTTTACAGATGACTTAAAATTCTATCAAAGTTAAGCTAGTTGATACATATGCATTTTACAGTGCTGACACCTTATTCACAACAATGCTCATAGTACTTTTCTTATTCTTGTGATAAGAAATAGACTAGAAGAATTTAACACTAAGTGAAATTAGTAATAGGATAATTTTAAACTTTTAACAAGCAATAATTGATCAATATGTAACTATACCAATTAAAAAGTGTTTACATAATAAGATGTTAAAAATATAAAAGGTAATGTAAGGTAGTTAAAGGTAAGTAGTAAATGAAACATTTAGGTAACGAAACTGAAAACCAGCACCGTAGTTACATTTAGCAGGTCTATTATGTTACAAAAATAAATTAATAAATGACCCACATGCTAAAACTTCCTATTGCAGAAACATGACCTTTTTCTTTATCAATTAATAAATTTAAAGTTTGATTTCAGTAGTTATTATAAATTCTAATCCAATAATTCCCTCTCTTGTGTGTTTTAAGTTATTTCTTAATTATGTAAATACTTTGCAATGTAAATGCCTTTAACTACCTACTGTAAATTCTTGTGAGTGGTTTTTTCTAAGCATTCTCCTCAAGAAGGAAAAAAATGTAGTAAATTTGAAAAATGACTTCAGAAAAAGAGCAAAAAATATTTCACATTTTTTTAAAATAACTTCACAGAGAAATGACTCAAAATTATGTTATTTTATGCTGAATAACAAAAAAAGTAACATTGCTCCTCTGTGTCCATACATAAGAGTATAGTCATCTAATATATTTCATTCTATTGAAATGAAAAAAGTTCAAAAAAATTTCAAAATCACACTAATAATGTCAGTATAGTAGTTTACTTGCCTTCAGTTACTATCTATGGTGTCTCACAAGATTAAAAAAAATTATTAGTAAGTTATTTTAAAAACTGAATTAATAAAAATAAAATGTTAATCCTTAAAGTGCATTTTTTCTTATACTGATCATAAATGCTACAATGTAAAGTAGAAAAGTAGAGATAATATATGATTACACCATTTTATCTTCTACGAATAAACATGCATTTTCATCCATGCACCTTGTAAAGAATTTTATTAAAAATGGAGGCGAAGGGATGAACATTTAGCATTACTTTTTGAAATTTGAACAATGCAGTTCAAATTTTTTTTAAAATAACCTTTGAAATCACAATTGCATTTTATTGCTATTTTTGCTATAATATTTTTAAGCTTTTTGAAATTTTAAATTATTATCCTCCACTTTTCAAAGAAATTTGCTTAACACTGTATAAAGATAAACTAAACTATATTATGATAAACTAAATTTATTTATGTTTTTAATGTTAAAAATTTCTGGTCTTATGAACATTTTAGGGAAAAACAATTATGGTCCCTAAAATTTAAGTTGTAATTTTCTATACTCAGTTAAGCTGTAAGTTAAAAAATTAAGTTTCTATATTCAGGGTTGTGTGTCTCCTAACAACTCTGATGACAAATTTCTTTGATGTCTCGAAGATTTTCAACTAATTCTTTGACTGATAAAAAAATTATTCTTTTTTTATAAATAATATACCATACAAATTTATAAGGAAATCATTCACGATAATTTATATATTTGTTCAAAATATTTAATTTTTACATAATTAAAACTAAAGAAATATATCTGTTTGTTATTTAAGTTATTGAAAAAGACATTAAAAATACTTACTCTGATCTCTAACAGATGTGTTTGGTTGAGTCGGCTGTCGTACAAGTTTTTGAACAACTTCAATTATAGCTTTGTTTTGAGCTGCATCATCACCAGGATAATGTTTACAGTAAGTAGTGAGCATCGTTTGTAAATTATTTCTAAACAAATAAAAATGTAGGAAAAAATTAATGAAGTAATATCATTTCGTTTCTTTTTAAATTGTCTGTAAATAAGTAAGGAAAAAAAAAGGATTTTCATGAGAACTAATAAAAAAGCATATAACAAGTAGTATTATTGACATATTGGTTAACTTTTTCAACCTATCAAGTACAATGAAAAATAGGAAATATTGATGTGTCATGATATCCATTGAGTAAGCTAGTTGTCATTTTTTTTTTAGCGAATGCAAAGTCTTACATTTTGTTAATGCTTTGAGAAAACAATGCATGCGGGAATAAACCCATTTCTTACGACATTTTTCAAACAAGGTCTTTAAAATCATCTGTAAAATACAATAAAGAAATATTAAGAAAATGACATTATATTTCCCCTAAAACAAATATTCATATTTAAGTCCCAAACAGCATTAATAAAGGTTAAATTTGTATTTATTAATTTATTGATGAAAAAAAGCTAAAGAAAGAACTATGAAAAAAAAAAACACAGATCATAATATCAGGGATGATTTTCAAAATTGTTAAAAAAAAATTAAGCCAGGGGTCTGTCCAGACATTTTGTGAAAGGTCCATTTTTGTAAAATAGATGCAAAGTAAAATTACTCATAATTTGTGAGTATAAAATAAACGTTAAGTCACATTCTTTTAACCAGGGTTGAAACAGGGTTATGAACTTGTGCCAATAGGATCTGGTTATTGCAAAAAACTTTTTCAAGGAGTTTTTAAATTGCAAAGACATACAAGATTATGCTCAACAAATTATAATTAAAAAAATTAAATTTTAAAAAATAAACAGCAATTGCAGCTACTAAATTAGCGATGCAACACATAAATATTTGGTATTTTGCCTACACTGCTGAACGCAGAATATTCATTTCGGACGAATAAAGGAAGAAGCGTCTGCCGAAGACAAAATTTAGTTCATCTACATCTGTCTTTCTTCCCCCCTTCTCCTGGGAAGGGTTTATTCGATTAACAAAACAATTATGAAGATAAACAAATTTGTGAAGGGTTCGATTAAAAGATGAACTATTTTGTGAAGGGTCCATTTTTAAATTAAAATATTTTGTGAAGGGTCCATTTTTATGAAAAGTTATTTTGTGTTAACGGACCCCAATTTCTTCTAAACAGACCCCTGGAAGCTGTTCCATATTGAAAAACTTATCAACAATACTTTATGTATGATTATTCTTTTTAAAAATATATTTGAAAGAAACAGAGTCCCATTTCAACAAGAAGGAAATTAATCTTAAAAAAAAAACAGAATTTGGACGAAATGGAGTGGTGGGAAAATGGAAAGTGTCGTAAGTTTCAAAAAAATAGTATTCTTAGCTTACACCTCAAATACTTTTATTCTAATCATTTAAAAATATTGTCTCCTTATTCTTGAATTTTTTTCAAATGAATTTCCTTTTGATGATAGAAGGCATTGAAATCAAACATAATCTCTCTGATCTCAACACTTCCAAAGAGTTTTTGAGAACAAAAATTCAAAATTAGTAAAAATTTTATTCTAGTTTTTTTTTATTTACCTATTATNCAATAATCCTCTTTAACCACTTTGCTTCCTTCTCCAACCAAAAAAACCTCCTGAATTTTTGAAGAGGGTTTAAAAAATTTGTGGTTTTTAGGAAACATTATACATACTGCATAAAATAATAATAATAAAAATAAGCCAGAAAATTTAAATTTGCTTTTGAATGATTTCAGCAATAAATTTAGCCGTTTTATCTTTTTTTTTTTAAGTAGCACAAAAAATCATTCAGTAAATATATATACATATATAAGTTCAAACTGTAAAGAAAACAAGAGTGAGTATAAAATGTTACACAAAGAGTAAGATGCAAAGTAAAGAAAAAAGTAAAGTATGGTAAAGGTAAAGTAGGGTAGGGTAAAAAGGGGTAAACAATTTTAGCCACGGATTGGCCCGAAATGGATTTGTACATGTAAAAAATTAACAAAGAAATTTTTTAGTAAATAATTCTGGCCACGGATTCGGGCAAATCTGTGGCTAAAATTATGTGGAAAACAGGCAATTCATGTTTCTTTCTCTTTTCTATTTTACATATTTTTTTCTTAAATAAATATTTATTTTCCAAAATTATTTATTGTCAACTTCTTTAAATTATCCAGTATAATATTACCCTGCGCACCTCCATTTTTGGGTCCAGCCTCAGTAACTAACAAATCAAACGCACTTCAGTGCAAAAACACACTTTAATACAAAACTCCCCTAGTTACGCTTTTAGCTTAATTTACGCTTTTAGCTCAATTTACGCTTTTAGCTCAATTTACGCTTTTGTTTTCATTTTTTGCAATCTGGCAATCTCGTTACGAAAAAAATTTAAATCATTCTTGAAAAATTTCCCGTTCATGTAAGTTCATTTGAATTTGCTATTCGCTTTACAGTTTCCATTTCATGTTTTATTGTTTTTTCTTTATATTTTATTTTCTGTTTTTACGTGATATTTTCACTTATTGTGTTCTATTTTATTTGTTGTAATTTTTTTTTTGTAAAATTTTTTGAGTGCATCT